TGTGCATGCCTTGTGCCCTCACAGATAGGATGCACTGGGTTAGAACCACAGCTGCCATGGTTATTTGTGTTATATTGATATTCCTTTAAGCTTTTCAGCATCAGTAATTCAGTATAAAAACAGGCATCTACTTTCCTCTTATGCTGAGGCTGTTTAACCATTGGGACTTTTTAAGATAGATGAGATAAAATTTATGGCAGTGTTGACTCCTCCTGATTTTCTCTCCACCAAAGAAGGGCCTTTTCATCTGCATCTGGTTCTTCAGAGAAAGCTATAAACAGATCTTTCTATTGTCAAATAACGAAGCTTCAAACGCTCAACAAAAGGCATGGAAACAAAACTCCTTATCAGACACTAAATCATCTGAAGAAAAAAAGTCCCAAACTCTCGACAGGTGGGCAGAAATGTGTACAAAGAGAAGCTGAAGTTGCACAGCTTTCACTGTGACCTCCTGCAGCAGCAAGAGGAATCCTGACCCAACTTGTGCACAGGCAGGAAAGGGAGCTGGCACATCCTTACCTGTATTCAGGGTACCTAAAAGCTGGCTGGAGTCCTGCCTTTCCATGAGCTCTCTCTCATCTCATCTAACAAAACCCATTCCAGAAAGTGACCTCAAGATAAAAATGCTGGAAAGAATTTGCTAGAATGAGGAGGCGGAGGAAGAAGAGAGGTTATTTCCTGTTTGATGCTATCAGATTTGGGTTTACTCCCCTTCTTGGGCTTATCAAAATTAGCACAGCTCATTCTGAGCCATTTCTCCTGCAAATGGCTCGGCAGAAAGACAGAGAGCAGTGAGGAGCCCCTGCAGTCCCAGGCAGAGCATTGCCAGAGGGGCTCAGTGGGGCTGTGATGTACCACCAGCAGAGGAGTGCATCTGTCTGGGGAGCACCATCCATGACAAATGCCAGCGAGAGCAGGAGTGAGCAGAAAGCGACAGCAGCTGCAGCTTTCTGCAGAAAAACATTTCATACTGCCTGAAGAGTTTGCAGGATGATGGAGGACAGACCTTGCCTGACACCCCTGCAGCCTCCCCACCTATTTAAGGGAAGAAAAAGCGTCTCTGTCTGCCATTACTCACCGCCACTTCTGCGCCCTCAGTCATTAAACCCGAGCCCTTTCTTCCCTCTGGATCCTGCACAGCAGTCACGGAATCTGTATCATCACCCCCTCCCTGCCTGTGTTCATCCTGGCACAGCAGAGACAGCAGCAGCAGAGGCTGTGCACTGCTCCTGCTCCAGGCTCAGACTGTCCCACCCAGCAGCGTGCTGGAATTTTGGAATTTGGGAGTTCTGAACTTTTTTGTGTTGTCAGGCACTGACATTTAAAAGAATATTGGTTTTGACTCGAGGTTTCTAAAACGGAGTGATAAAATTAAAATAACTAATATGTAATTTAAATAAAAGTATCTAATATTACATGACGAAAATTTTAAAATTGAAAGTTTTAAAGTATAACAATATACAAAAAATAAAATAAAAGTAAGGCTCCTGCTCCAGGCTCTGCGTGGCCCCCAGGGAAAGCCTCCACCAACTTCTCCAGTTGGCTCGAGGCGAATTGGGTTGACATCACACACCTTCCTGAATGTGTCACTTGACACATCCCTGAATCCCACCCCTGCTGTCCCAAATTCCTCCCCATGGGTTGTTTCAGAGGAGAAATCTGATGCCTATTGCTCTGTGATTGAAAGCTGTCACAGGAGTGCAACACAAACTTTTAGTGCTCTTTGCTTCAAGTCATGCTGTCAATGTCACTACTGCAATTCTCTTCACACAGATAAAAACACCATCACAAGTTCTTTTTCTTTTTTTTTTGTTTGTTTGAAGATATCGTGCTACATGACTTTTCAGTATCAAAAAGAAAAAAAAAAAAAGAAGCTTTTAAAACTTCTTCGCTCCTTAGTTTAGGCAAATTATGTTTTGCCCTCAAAAAGGAAATTGTATAAACCAAAGATGAGACAGCAATGCTGGCTGGAGGATAGGCACCCAGCTGTATTTCTTTATTCCATTTGCATATGATATGGGAGTAGACAATAATTTTCTCCAACGTACTGCATTTGCAATTCCAAAGGATTTGCTGAAAACTGCCTCCAAGTAATTCTTGGTCTGTAATACATCTAGCTTCTGTAATGTTAGACAATACTAAAACTATCAGTAGCCATCATGAGTTGTAGAAATTCTGCATAGAATTTCCAGTAGTAACTATATTTATATTAGCTATAAAACACAAACTTTAGACTATAGCCCCATTCAGTATTTTATTATGGATATTGGCTAAGTGTGAGATGGAATATGCTAATCAGAAAAATAGATCCATTTAAAAATAAGCAAGTGTCCCTGCCCACAGCAGGGGTGTTGGAATTAAATGAACTTTAAAGTCCCTTCTAATGCAAACCTTTCTATGATTCTATGATTTGCTTACTGAAAAAGTACAAATATTTAGAAGGGCTTGGGGCCTTCTAGGTTCTCAGTAAAGATTTCCCTGCTGTCTCCAGCCACATCCTTTGCCCGAGGAGATGAGTCATGTAATCTTGCAGAAAGGAAATGCAACACTTACTCTGAACAAAACCAGTTCAGGAGGCAGTGGTTGTCAAACGTCCCAGGCACAAGCAGTATCCAAATGTTAATCCAAGTTTCTGCAATGACACATCATGGAATTCTGCCTCTACCTCAGACAGAAATGGGTGATGCTGCTGTTCAGGGCATCTCACTCCTGCCTGCCTGGTGGTCATAATACCGATTTGGATATTACAGCACCAGCAGAATTTGCTGTTTCATTTTAAGAAATAGCTTTAAAGATGTCTTATCTGTGACACTGCCTGCTACAGGTTCATTACACACGAACCTCTTGTTTGCTGGTTTTGAAATGAGCTGCAATAATTCATAACTGGTGACATGAACTTACCATGTACATGCCTAAAATCTAGAGGGTTTTTTTTTAAATACACAGAGATTTTTATCAGAGGTTCACACAATCACTGTTTGCACATCTCTTCAGTACAACAGATGTTTTATTTACTCTTGTGAACTGACCATTATCTGCTCTCAGACTCACCAGCTTCTACTCTTGTTGTTTCTGTAGATCCAAGGGTGACAGGGTGGGGCTGGTCCTGCAGCTCCCCATGAGATGCTGGCTCTGGCCCTGGTGTCTCTGCTCCTGTGCTGGGCTCTGGGGCAGCCCCCCAAGGGCTGCATACACAACCACTGGGACATCAAGCACTATGGTAGAGGTTGAGAAACAAAGTTCTGTTTCATTGCTGGGATGTGGGAGATTTTCTGACATGATCGTTTTGTGGGGATGCGCTCATCCTGAATGCTAGAAGAAATCTAAAGGGATCCTTCCATTTTCTCTGCTCACCATTCTACAACACATTTCTTGCTTGTTTCCACTTTCACTTTGATCTTATGTCAAGTAAGTTCATTCTCTGTTCTCCTTTTATATTCACAAACTAAATTAATTACATGATGAAAAGATTACATCGTGCGTTTCATGTCAGTTGTTGCTTAGCACATGCCACAAGCAAACTCCTCTCTTCCCACCATGAAAGATTGACATGGATACAAATCTAAACCTCTGTTCTGTACAGTGCTACAAACCACTGGTGGTTTATCTCAGGTGGGAGGATATCAGATCCCAAAACATCCACGTTTTCCATTTCCTCGTCCTGCCAGCACTTGATTAGCAGAGGGATGGAAGCTGCACTACTGCCAGCCTTCCCCAGTCGTGACCAGCAGCCTGAGAGGATGATGTGATGGTTATTTCCCATCACCTGGAAAGCACCAGCTCCCCAGAGGAAGCCAGAGCCACCTGGAGGCACCCTGCCACCAAGGACTCTCTCAGCAGCCCAGAGAAAGCAGGGCTGGCATGGCACAGCCTCACTGAAGGAGCCAGAAGCCCCAAAGAGGCAGCACAGGCACCTCCATTTCTGGTCAAATTCCTGATAGCACCATCCACAACCCATTCCCTGTTCTTCTGTCAGACCCAGGCTGGAAAGTGTCCCTGTTCTTTCCTGGGAAATGTAGCACTGTAGTCAGACTGGAAAATACCTGGAAATTCAGGCAGCTGGCTCCTCAGAGTGCTGGGTTCATAGACTGTAGGGCAGGATCACCCATGCCCAGTCACACCAGTGTTCCAGGGATAAAGTGTTACGGTAAACTCAAGAGATTTGATACAATCATATCAGGACATTGCTTTTACCCACAATCTGGACCCCCTTGTCTAAGGGTGAGAACGAGCCACATCCTCCTTGCAAAAGGTGCAGTGCAGTCCAGTATCCCCTCTCCCAGCTAAGGTGGCTTAGGTGTCACCAAACAAATACAGGTGGGTAAAACCAGCCCATCACCCTGCATCCCTGCCCTGCTCAGGCACCAGAGCAGGGCTTGGTGAGCTGCTGGTGTGCATGGATGTGCTTACACATTAGCACACCCATTCCAACAGGGACAAGCTTCGTGCCACTGTCCCACAGCCTCTCCTGGGTGACTTACAGATTAATGTCCTCGTCATCTCTGTGCCCTTGACCACCTAAGTCAGCAATAACTTGTTATCACCTTTCCTTTATTTGGCGGTGTGTAAATTTGAAAATAAGCCTGTACTTCCTGTAAAAACCAGAATGAAACAATTATTAAATAATAAAATTTAAACAGTTCTGAAACAAGGTAGAAAACAGATCTTTTTATTTGGAACAAAATTAATCATGGGGGGAAAGGAAAGAGAAAAAATAAAACAATAGCTGGGCATGAACACATACAGTTAACAGAAGAGCACAGGCTGCATCACTTCTCTCCTGACCTCCTGACAGTAACACAAACTTCTACCCCATTGCTGAATGGCACTTTCAGTGGTAAAGGACAGAAAACCAGCCGTGGTTCAATCTGTCTCGCATCTCTATGGAAAAAAATCCTTCCAGGACTGGGATCATAACAGTGGTGGTGCTCACAGCTGCTGGGCACCCCCAGCCCTCCCAGGGCTGCCAGCAGGAAGGCAGCCCCAGGGTAAACTAGAGCTGGGATGCTCCAGCCAGCAGGACAAGGCTGGCCCAGCTCTCTCACCCTCTGTGCTCAAACACTGCCATCTTCTCCAGCGCAGCTCAGAGCACTGCTCAGCCTTTGAAGCATGTGCTGGAGTCGACTGTCCCCTCCTGCCCTTGCCAGAAAGTGCAGAAGTGAAGCAAGGATGACTCTGTCCCCTCGTTTTGGTGACTCTTGGCCCTGTGACATTCACTCAGCACCCTGTGCCACTTCTTTGTCATTCAACTCACAGCCTTTGAGGAATGTTTATACTGAAAGGAGTTAGAACAGCACCGTAAGGAAAAGAATTATCAAAAATTATCACCTCCCTCTTACCGTGGAAAATCCGATTCCTACGGCAGCCTTTAAAAGCAGAGACAGGCTGAATCACCAACAACACAGTAGACAAGATCCAAACATCTTCTAAAGAGTCACAGGACAAGGAAACAACGAGAACCATCACCTGTGGCTGGGTGTCACTGATGCAGAGCCTTGGCAAGTGCACAGAGATGAAGGAGTCCCAGGTAAGCGTGCAGCCATTCCACCAGCCCCCTCACCTGGCAGAGAAGCCTTCAGCTTAGCCTGGATTCTGCTGGGGTGCTTGCAGCCCTTGTCGGATGGCATTCAATCAGGCATATCTTAAACCCATTGCCAAGAGACTGACAGTGTCAGCACAATATAAAACAGGGACGAAATGACAAGGGAGGAGAGGAATGCAGTACACGCCTCCCCATCCCTTTTGGTCCCAGTTTGTACAGCTCTGCTTTTACTACCGTGCCTTTCTAGCCCAGCAGGCTAATTTAATGGTAACAACTGATTTAACACCTCGCTCTGACTACTACAATTGTCTTATACAGTAAATATCTTGCTCTGGCATCACATCCTGCAGCACTCCCTGCAGCCTGACAGCTTTGAGACAGAGTCCCTGCCCTCTCCTCACCACAGCTTTCTTCCCTGCAGGTCTGCCCCCACTGCTCCACAGGCACACCCTCCCCTGAGCAGAACAGGACATGCATAGCAGCAAGACTTACCTAAGAGATTCTATAAATTGCTGCTGTCTGTGCAAATAACACAGCCCCCAACAAGCCTACATGCACAGGCAGATGGCTTCATCAGCTTGCAGTAGCTAAACTATTACACTAAAGGCACTAATGCTTGCATTGATAAACGACCTCAGCGTTAAAATCAAGGTTTCTGCCAAAATTGCAGCCCCAAGCCCCCTCCTGTTGCAGGCAAGCAAGCGAGTGACAGTGCTGGCTTAGCTCAGGGGCAGCCCAAGCAGCCAGGATTCTGGTGAAAGGTAACCAAAGGTAACCTGTGCCCTCTGTCATTTGGGGCACCAAGAGGTGAGTAAAGCCAGCATCACCCCGGGTGTGCACCCAGCATCTGCAAGTCAAAAGTCAAGCCCCCACCACTGTTCCTGCTCCATGCAGCAGGAGGTGAGGGCCAAATCACAGGGTCTGGAGCTCAGAGGAGCAGCTCAGATAAGCACCCAGCATAGCAGATACTGAGCTGAGACCTCCTGTGAGTTTCCTCGTGAAAAAATATGCCCTGAAGTCTCCCAAGAAGCAGCTTTCTCAGGAAATTTCTGGCAAGTCTTTGGTTTCTGCCTGGGTCTGGCAGGCCACCTCAAGCTGCCTGTAGTGCCTGCCCCTGGCAAGGCATGGGGTGGGCAGGGAGCAGGAGGAGCTGCCCATCTCATCCCAGGCTGTCCCTGGGGCTCCTTGGTTTATCTGCAGCTCTGGTATCAGGCAAAGCATCAAAGAACCTGTCAGGCCACAGCAGAGCAGCCTTGAGGCCACGTGTGTGCTTTTCTCTATATTTTCTTTTTTTCTTTTTAAATGAGGTCAGAAGGTCTGACACCTCGCATCATCTTTCCCCCTGCTAAAATTTTCCAGACACAGTGAGACTATGGGATGCAAAGGGCAAGAGTGACAGGCTTCAGGGTGGGACAGCAAGCATGTCAGATCAGTCATCAGTTGGATCAGGGAAACAGTCTGAGGCATCTTCCTGGCTTTCCATATCAACTAGAACCTCAGGAGCTGGCATTTCCTCAGCTTCTATCTGCACTGGTAAGTTTTCTTCTGACAGTGGCTGGGGCTCAACACCTTGACCAATCTGGGCAGCGTCTGGAAAAGGGAGAAATGGTTTGTAAGTGCCCACACTATGGCTCACCCCCCATGGAAATTCTGCCCCTGGTCCCTGATGCTGCAGGCTGCCTAATCCACTCAGTGCCCTCGCCCCAGGCACCTGCAAGTCAAATTTCAATTTTCTCTGTAACTACTCATTTACTGAGCTATCCATCATGCATTAGGGCAGTTTGGTACTGAAGCTATCTGGCCTCTTAGTACCAAAGTACTTTAGTACTGTTAGTACCAAACCTTTAGTACCAAAATACTAAAGCCAAATCTTACATCTGAATAATTAAAGCTGGCTAACAGCACACGTTTAGTTCTCACCTACTTTCCACATGCATCTCTGCTTTTTACTTAATTGTAAAAAATCTAAATATGGACTAGTTTTTAGTCAAACTTATAATGTGTGAATTTTTTATTAAAAGCTCTACACTTGAAGTATATTAATATTAAACAATGACCTGAAAGAATTTTTTTTCCTCTTTCTTGCTCTATGCTCACGAGTAGCATTTAATATTTCGAAAGCAGAGCAAAGAGCATCCAAGGTTAGATATAAAGCACAGCTGAGCTATAGGAGGCTGTGCATGGTACAGTGAAGGACATCAGAAATGCAGTGCTGAGACCAGGCTGTGACCTATGTAATGCTGCTCCAGTTCATGATGTCTCTGCTAAAACTACTTCAGCTGATGATGGTGCATTACTAGGCAAGGCATTGCCAGCATTTGTGTTTGGGAAGCAAAACTGAGGGAAACACAATACAAAAAAGTGGATATTAATATCAAGCACTTACAGAACAGGAGATTTCTGAAGGGTTTTTATCACAGCACCCTCTTGACCATATTGTGCTAAAGCTGTGGGGATTTATGCTCGATTTCTTTGAAGAATTTAAAATGTGGCCATATCCTCACTGTAGCCTCAGTTTAAGAAAATGCACAAGCCTCCGGCTTTGATGGGATTTAACTGTGTTTACAGCTCAGCATACTGGCTCCTGCTGTCCTGAAGATGACTGCTTACAAAAACAATGCCAATTTTAATAAAATGTTACTGATGACAAGGGGAGAGGGGTGAGAAAATTGCAGGAAAACTGCTGAGGTTTTTTGGGGGGGGGTTGCTGTTTTTGAGGTGTTTTATTTAGCAGAGGAGATACTGGAACAGACATCCTGCAGCCTGCTGGCAGCACCTTCTGTGGGATGCTTGTGGCATGGCTGCCTCTACCTCTCATGGCATGAGTAAGGTACTGAAAAATGCCATGCTGCAACTCCTGGAGAAGGTGCTGGCATGTCCCAGGCCCCTCTCTGCTGTCACCTCCAGCCCCACCAGCCACACACAAAGGCTGTGTCCCTCCTAAGCAAGGTGTCTGGATAAACAGGTTGCTGGACTTACCAGGCTTCGGAGGACGGTCGGTTTGAGCCTCGACACGGTCTCCATTGGGGGGGCTCTTCGTGCCTTCACCAGACACCACTGACATTGTTAATCCATCATCCTTCTCCTCCTCTGTGAAACCAAAACCGGGGATTTGAAGGAAGAGGCCTCCCACAGCACCAGGTTCAGCAGGTGTGCTGTGATGCCAGACCCCCAACACGTGTTTGTGTCCCCGGCTCACGCAGCGCTGGCTCCGCTCCCAGCACAGACAGATGCCAGAACAAAGGGTCACTGCCGACCTGCCAGAGACCTGCCTGGCCATGCTGGCAGGGTCACAGCTTGAGGTGGCACGGTCAGATTGCACTCAGGGACTGCTGCTGACAGAGGACTGCCATCAGAAACATTCAGGTCATTTTGGGATCGCACCCGAATGAGGTTCAAGTTTATTGTCCATAGGAAAGATTTCACTGTAGGTTTTTCTTCTTTCTGTGCCAGGAGCACAGGGTGAGGGGAATAAAGGAAAAGTGAGGTTTAACTCAGGACCCTGTAAGAGCTGCCTATCAGCAAGCAGACTTCTGCTCCAGCAGGTCAAGGGAGGACAGGCTGGAGGACAAGCAGCCACCCAGCTACTCTAAGCCACCCAGGTTACCCTAAGGCCACATCAACCACAGCCTGCACAAACACAGTCCTCTCTAAAATTAATCAAAGGGAGGTCACAGCATTCCCCACTCACCTGAAGGCACTGGGATGAACTTGTGTCTCCTCCTCGTGCAGCAACATATGGCTGCAGGCAAAGCCACCAGCAGGATGAGCACACCCGCTGCACACCCTGCCAGGATGTAAATGAACCCCGGGTACTGCAGCAGGTCTGCAAGAAGGACACAGCTTTGTTAGGTACCGTGGTGGACAAACTCCTTTCTCCCAGTGGGAGAAACCCTGCAGCCAGGTTAGAGCTCGTTGACATTACTGTTGCTTTAGTTTGGATCAGGGCAGCTGACACTGAACCATGGCACTTTGTGATTTATGTAGCATCCTTCAATTATGGCATGGAATGTTTCACTAAGAGAAGAGGCCTGTGCTGTGTGCATTCACTTCTGCCTGCTCTGACCACTGACATCTAAGGTAATCTGTAAATTTTAATGAAATTTAACAGAGAAGGTGATGGGTTTGAAAGTTACTACGCTTCAACAAGTTGTATGAAAATGGGCAGCTGAGGAGGGAGACCTAAGGAAGCACCTCCTGCTGAAGGAAAAGCTGCAGAGATGGTATCAGAAAATCTGCTTAGGACAGTCATATAATGACTGCACCAACCCCAGAGCACATCTGGTCAGAGTCTGCACTGCCTCAAACACCAAAAGCTGTGGCCCCTACAGCCAAAGCTGTAGGAAAAAATCCTTCCCTGACTCCGCTGCTTCTCGGGGAAGGATTCCACTCTGCTCCCTGCCCAGCCAGTGTTGGATCCCAGAAGCCTGGGAGTTTTGAGCTTTCTGTGCTTTCTGGCACTGACCCCCAGGAGAACACTGCTTCTGACCTGAGGCCTTGGAGAAGGCTCCCAAATTTGAGTGATGGAGTTAAAGGCACGGGTGTGTAGTTAAAATAGAAGTGTGCCATTTCACATGGTGAAGGGTTTTAAATTTAAAGTTTTTATGGTATAGTGATAGGTATAGGACAAAATGGAAAATTTTAGGTGGTCTCTTTTAGGTGTTCATCTTCCTTCTTCATAGTTTCAAGTAGTAGTTTCCAGTTAGACAGTTAGTACTGCACTGAAGGTCATGAAAGTTTAGTTATCAGGTCAAAAGTATAAATAATATGTGTTAATTCTCTATTAGACTATTTAACTTTAAAAGACCTTGTAGCTAAATTCACCTCTGTTTTGCTCACTTCGAGCTAGTAGCTGAAAGTATTGCTAAACTCTCTGTACTTTAAATAAGATTTAATAAACAACCAAGCCCAAACACAAAAAAATTTGTCTCCTTCATGTTCTTTAATCCTAGCTCTAATAAAGACAAAAAGACTTCAAACCAGCCACTGATTAAGTGGTGCAAAACACCACCACCTTTACAGGCCAGGAGAGTGAGGAACATGCAGCAGGAGTGAGGGCTGCAGATGGCTGAGCAGAAGGGCAGCACAGGGCAGTGGTGCCACAGGGCAGTGGCAATTGTCACCCAGCTCAGCTCAGAGTCACTCTGATGGTGCAGACCTGCACGTTCCCTGCTGCTGAGCACGCAGCTGGTAGAGGGCATCACAGACTTGCACAAGAGAGACCCAGCCAGGCTTCCTCCTTTGTCACTTTTTATCTTCTTTTTCTCTTCAGTCAGAGTCGGGATTAAAAGTATGAGAGATGGAATTTCGTGTTTGGATGCAGATGTTTATTAATTCCTATCTATATCACAGTGAGTGCTACAGCACTTCTAGCTAACAAGCTGAAAATGGAGAAATGGCAATGGATCTCACTCGTTACAAAGTCTTTTAAGTCTTAACAGTCCAATTAAAAACTAACACCAAAATTATTTTTACTTTTGACCCAATGACCAAACACCTGTGACCCACAGTGTGACATTTTCTATCCAATTAAAAAGTACCACTGTACCCAAGAAGAAGATGAAGAAGAAAGAAAACCTCCGCCCTAAAACCTCCATCTTGCTTTATACCTATTACTAGATTTTAAAACCCCAAATTCCAAATCCTTCACCATGTGACATTACACACTTCTATTCAAACTACACACCAGTGATTTTAGTCCAATCATTAATTTTGAAAGCCTTCTCCAAGGCATCAGGTCAAATGCAGTGTTATTTTGGGGGTCAGTGCCTGACAGCACAGAAAGTTCAAGACTCCCTGTTTCCAGGGAGTTTTCTTTCACTGATATCATCTGCTCCAGCTTGGGGCAGCCTCTAGGAAATCTCTTCTTGCTATTTGCAAAAAACCCTCACACAGCTCCACTATAACATAAATTCCTTAAAACTCCTTAGGTAAGTCCGTGTCATCCCTTTCTGAATAATTTAACTCCTTTTCTGCAGCAACCAACAGGCTCATTTGGAGCTTATTTTCACACCCTCAAAAGCACTAATTGCTCCATATCTCCAGAGACTAGGAGGAATTTTAAATGCTCCAGGATGTACTACACATCACCATACTCCACCTGCTCACTGGGACAATAAAAACAACTGCACACAGGTGTTCATGGTATTTTCAGACTGCTCGTTCCAGTCTTTTTAAGAACAATTACCAAGTTCAAAAAAAAATCCATATTCAAAATTTAAAACTTTAAGCGACTCAGAAATAACTTCCCTAATTATTTTAGTTGACAAAAGCTTAGAGAATATTGTCAAAAGTATAAATACAAGTTGGAATTTTTTTCCTGAATCTTTTTCCTAAAAATTTGCCACTTGTTAATAAAGTCTTTTTGAGATAAAACATTACATTAAAAATAAGCAATGAACAGGTCATTAATGAATAAAAATCTTTTATATATGTTGACTTCTTAACTTCTGAATCCTGTATGTTCAGAGCCCTGTGTTGCCTGGGAAGTTTACAGCATTTCTGCCAAATTGTTTTTAAACTAATTTTGAATAATTATTACCAATCAGCCAACAGGTTGCCCAAATGGATGTTTTCACATACATTGTATACCTACAGTGGAAAAACGAAATTCAGCCCTTTGCCTGGAACAAATAATCCACAACAAAAACCGTTAATCTTCAATTAAATTAAATGAACCCATTTCCCTCTTCAATTCATTTTACTGGTATCCAGAATTGCTTTAATTCACTTTTTACAAATGTGGTTGCATTTGGTAACTAAAAAGTGGAATTGCTGCCACTTTCTTTCTTTCAGACCCTTCCAAATATATGTTTATGTGTGTATCCATCCCTAAAGAGATATCACTAAATTCCCTCATGAGCTTTCCAAGAAGGGAACAGATATTGCACCCAGGGGACTGGGCAAGCACCCAGGATCAGCCATGGAATCTGTCAGCACTTGTGTGATTTATCACAGGGTTTGACTGAAGAGCTCATGGATGTTCACATCCTCGTTCCCCAGCTTGGGTCTGACTACACTGAACAGCCTCCAACCGATTTAACTGGGCAAAATTCAGGTCACTGCTCCACAGCCACAAATGCCAAATCTGCACAGACTGGCCAGCAGTGCCAGGCATGGACAGCCCACAGCATTCCTGCCACCACACTGGACACAGGGTCTAGGTCAGCAGGAATGCTTTCACACCAACTGCATGCCAACCACAGAAGAAAAGACAGCATCTGCTGTGGAGCTGGAGTGTCCCAGACAATTCCTAAAATGCTACAGTACAGCTTCGCTAGTGGCAAAAGTGATTAAATTAATTACAGCAAAATTTGTCAAAAACCTTATGGTTTTGACAGCCAATTTGTCAAAAATCTTATGGTTTTGTAGCTTTGATAACCATCTTTGCTGCCAGAGAGTAAAAGAACTTTCACTACTGGATGTTCAAATTAAATTATATCCAAGGATCCAGATTTTCTGTATCATTAAATTCTGGCCTTATTGAAGCAGAATACTCAGCATTTATGAATAGTTTGCAAATGGATAAAGTCCCAGCCTTCTCGCAGACTTACATGTCTGAGCAAGGATATGGAGGGGAAAAAAACCCTACATTCCATAAAGAAATTGCTTGTGTCTTTACCCACTTCTGATGGATGGGGCTGATGGAGAGACATTTGCATAGATGAGAAAATATTTGGTGCTTCTGGTCTAGATAGGGGGGAAAAGAGATGAGGCAAAACACCTCAGCTGAGTCCAGCACCAACAGGGCTGAATTAGTGGAAGGGTTTTTATGGGGATGCACAGGAACTGGAAGGCATCTGGGTCATGGATGCACGTCAGAGTAGGAAGCAGCCTGTGTTTCCAAAGCAGCATAGAGGATTGGTGCACAGGAGAGTGCAAATCTCCATCACCAAAAAGTAGGAAAAGAGACAGATGGAGATCCATCCTTGCTGCAGAGCTGGGTAAAAGGAACTCCTCAACAAACTTATGGCGTCTGTGGTTGTAGGCTGTGTCAGTCCAAGGCACAAGAGGGAGAAGGAAATCAAGGGGCTGCTTTCTAAAGGCATGATTTGGTAACTCTGGAAGGGAAATGCCAGAGGACAGAAGAGTTTGGTATTTTGAAACAACTCCTCAGTTTGCTGCTGCAAGAGACCAAAAGGAAGATTTTCTGGAGATGCCATTACTCACCGTAGCTGCAAGACAGCGTAATGGGTCTGGTCCTTGTGACACTGTTCCCCTTCAAAACTTCACAAACAAACTCCCCAGGCTCAGTTTTGTCCAGTTGAACCTTCTTCCCAGCATCCTTAATGCAAGCCCCCTCAGCTTTCAGGTGGGTGCCATTCAGCAGCCACCGAAAAACCAGGATCTCGTTGCTGGCCACGTTGCAGGACAGCTCTGCAGTCCCATCAGGGAAGCACTGGATACCAATGGTCGGCTCTGGACACACACAGCATGGGGCAACAGGAACAGGGAGGAAAGAGAGAGGTGAGGAGAGGACCAGCAATCCCAGTAATACCACATTTACTCTGTCAGGGGTGCACAGAAACAAGTGAGCAGACTCTTGAGTGCCTGCACTCTGCCCTGAAATGTTTCAAGTGCCCACTCCAACCCTGCTAGTGACTCTTGATCCCTGCTTTAGAGATGCCACCAAAAACTGGCATCTTTTCATTTTCCTAACTGACATTGGAAAAAAAATAAAAGCCCCTGGTCTGAGAGGATGGTGGAAACATCCAAAGCATGTGCCAGCCAGAGCCCTCCTCTGTAATCAGGTAATCATAGCTTTGGAGGAATCTCAGCCCTTCCCTCCACCAGGGGTTTGTACTTTTGTTGTCATTCTGTCCCTTCTTCCATTTTAGAGTGGAACTGGTGCGAATCATGGCCAACATGGGTACAAACACAAGACACCTGCAGCTAGATACAATACTCACACACCAGGACATTTTAAAATTAGTCAATGAATAATTGCTCTTGCTACATTTCCCTAAATTTCTCACTTTCAGTCTAGTACAAGGAGCAAACCTATTTCCTATTTCATTTGCCACTTTGCAAATACAAACTAGATAGAGAACTGGTATGGTTTCCTGACAGCAGGAGTAACACTGAGAACATCCACCCATGGAAATAAGACATCACTTTCTTGTGCTAGCATATCATCTTCAGTTAAAATTTCCTGCTTCCACGAACATGTTGGCTGTGGAAGTTTTTCCCTGCCTTAGGGGTGGCAACAGAACAGAAGGAGGAGGCAAATGTTCCCAAAGTAAATCCACTGAAATGGAGGTTAAACCCAGGACACTTCTGCAGTCTTTGACTATTTCCAGTCTAAGCTCCTGTTCTTCATACTAAGGAGTCACATCTTTGACCTACTGTGCACAGCAGTTCCGCCTGTTTGCACCCAAAAGGTGTAAGGGTTCATTTGTCTTCACTGAGACCAGTTTGCTCAGACATTTTCATTACAGTTTCCTACACTTCAATTTATCTTAGAAGCCTGTGTAAGTGAAAGCCCTGCAAAAGGAATGGTGGTGATGAGGACCAGAGCAGAGCTCTGTGTCTCCTATTCAGCAGGAGGACAAACCCTCCTAAGCCTTCTCCATATTAACCCAAGCAATGAGCTGGATCCTGTACAGAAGTGACTTTGTTTCTGTCTTTGCTGTCTGCAGATGGATGAGTGGGCACACCAAAGGGAGCAGGAATTCTGAGGCCACGGGAGGGACACTGGCAAGGTTCCCAGGGGCACCTATAGCTCCTACAAGCTCAAGCAGTTTCTTTGGAAAAATTTCAAGGCATCAGGTTTCCAACTAGATTCACAAGTTCAAAAGCTTTTTGTTGCTAAGAAGGCCACTTACCAAATACTTCCAGTATAAAATTTCTGGTGGTGTTCTGAAAAACAAATCCGTATTTTCCTTCATCATCTTTCTCCACACTCCTCAGCACTAGGGAGCCGTTCTCCAAGTTCAGCCATCTACTGGCAGAAGTGCCACACTTGGCCAACAAAGTATCATTTAGGACAGTTGTAGAGCATTTCTTATCCTCCCTGCTCATGCTGGAGAAGGTCTGCAGGCTTTGGATTTCCAAAGAAAAGACTGCCGAGTCGCCGCTGAGTGCACCAGTCCAGATGGCAGAGCCTGGAAAGAGAGCAAGCTTGCCATGTCCATCCATCCCCTCCTGGCTGCCTCCCAGGAAGGAAAATGCCCAGGTGAGACATAAGAGGGACAGACCCAACCCTAGGGACAAGTTGGATCACCAGTGATTGAAAATCAGAGGAGTGGGACACCTTCCATAAGGTCCAGCTTCCCCCCACCTCAACAGCACAGGAATGGTGTGCACACTATGCACACAGGGAAACAAAAAGCTGAACAGCTGTTTTTTCTCTCCCTAAATTTAAGATGATCATCTATCAGCCCCCATCAGAAATGAGAGACTGTGCAAAGAAAGGTTCTCAGGGCATCAGTGGCATGGACCTTGCACAAAGGGTAGCAGAAGAGTAAAGTCACAGTTTTAACTTGAACAGGTCCCACATTACACTTGCACATTATGAAGCTGTTGTGTGTAAATCAGAGAAGCAGCCTGGGGACTAACCCAAGGTCACACCGAGTGTTGGGAGCTGGACCACATCGCTCCCAAGCCAGCACTCTGCATTACAAGGACCTTACATTCCCCACTGAAAAGCTTCTACAGACACAGGACACTCAGAAAGTACCATATTGTTACTTATCGCCTGTTTAGCAGGAAAAGAATCTGTGTTACTTTGGTCTGCCTCCCCTTTCATGCATTAGCAGCTACACTATTTGATGTCATCCCAAACCTGGTAGCGTTCTTAAAAGATCTTGGAGCAAAATTAGGGCATCTGCTCATCTTGGCTAATCTGTGCCAACCCCATAAAGAAAAATTTTACTTACCTTGAGTAACAGTTATTATCACCAGCAAGCAGAGCAGAGTAAAAGGAGAGTTGAAATCCATTTCAAAGAGCTCCTTGCATCATATGCTGAGGAGACGATCTGGCTACAGAGCTCGGTGAATATAGTGCTCGGGAAATGATGTCAGAAGCAAGAGTGGAAAAAAAAAAAAAAAAAGAGAAGAGAGTCCATAGTGGACAGATTGAATGATGTTTCAAAATAGACCTGCAAGGTTTTGGGTGACTGAACTCGGGCTGAGCCACAATGTGCTCTGCAAAGTCCCGCAGCTCAGAGGTAGCTGCGAGTGTGAGAATAGGGCTGAGAGGTGAGGGGAGACAAAAATCTCTCCTGGTCATCTCACCCCATTTAGGAAGACCCTAACGTCAAGAGCAGGCAAAGGAGAAACACCTGTTTCTTTCATTCTGTTATAGTTTATCAAAGTACAGCATCCCCACCCATGGGGGAGAAATTAGTCTAATCAGATAAAGCACTGCACATGAAAACCAGCTGATTTTCTGAAATACTAAAAATTATCTCAGCAGCAGAAAGGAGGTGTGAGTCAAGGCTCTCCCTCTGTTCCCAAAGGTTGTGCTGCCAATGTGAACTTTGCCAGACTCTTTTAGTGGCTGAGTGGTACCTGCCATGCAGAAAAGGCTCCACACAGCCACCCCAGACAAAGAGCAGAGCTTATGGGAAGTTGCATTGCAAAACTAAACTGAATGTAGCCCAAAAGCCTCCCCAGCTCTATTTGGAGTGCAAATCTCAGAGAGAAGACTGAAAAGCCAATTCTGAAACGCTGGAACCAGTTATCTGGAGAGCCAGGTAGGGCCAGATACTTGGCACTTTTTGAGATGGCTTAAAGCTCACTGGATGTTGTCCTGAGTGCCAAGGTGGGTTACACAAACAACACTACAGGAACTGAAGGAACTAAACTGGTATAGTATTAGAGTCAATATCTGGATGCTTTCAGAAGCTTAGCAGATATGCTGGGGAATAACTAGAACAGCTGGGTACCCTATACTTTTGTGCTGTTTCTCTGGACAGAAGCAGACACACAGCCCTTAAGGGAGCTCCACACAGCAGGTTCATGTGCACACACACATTTCTGAGAAGTGGGTAAAACCCTTACGTTGTGGTCTCCACTATGTTTCAATCAATCAATCTGGCTTTGCTTGAAAAAATTCCACATTTCAGCCACAGGTTTGGCCACTCTGACTTCTTATTAATAACAATTGCATCTCAACTCCTGCTCCCAGTGTCCCAAACTTACAAATTTGGTTCAAGACTATCACAGCAATATGCTGTCTTTATCATATGTGCATAGGACAGGCTAAATTGATCTAAGATGAGACAGAAATAGACTTCTCTGAGAAAAAGCAGTGAAGTGAGTCTTCAGACACAGCAGTACAGAGGAAGGGAGAGAGAAAAAAGTATTTACAGTAAGAAACACTTTCATTTCCTTCTGTGCTGCTGAAATAACATGAAGAAAATCTCTCTCAAATACCACTGCAAGACTGGGGCTAACCATCTGCCTCGGATGTGCACATTCAACTTCATTTCACCTTCATGCTTGAAGGGCAAGCTGGTAGAGCTCAGGGTTGCAGACACCAGACAGGACAGACAGCATGTGCAGGGTTGCTTCCAAACAGCATCCCAGAATGTCCAGAATCTCAGCAAAACAGGATGCAAAAGGGGTCTGCATAAAGACTAATCCAGCAAAAGTTCACCTCCTCTTCCAGGCAGTGAGAGCAGAGCTCATTTACACATTTGCAGTAAAATCCAAGAAAAATACAGCCTTTCTGCTGCCACTCTGTTGTTACAGAAGTGACTCTGCACCACTGTGACATTGCAGTGTCCTGCATTTTGTCTCCCTCTCAGTGACTCCAGGGCAAATGAGTACATTTATGAGTTCAATATTTCTGACTGCAAGTGCCCCATACATCACACAGTATATGAAGTCCCATTAGGCTTCTTCTGTCCCTCACATCCTCACTAGCTAAAAAAAACCCAAAAGGAATCACAGCCAGGATAAAGATGACAGCACACACACAATCTGTGTTGTCATCAATCAGCAACGTCTTTTAGAGCAACACTCTCAAATTTCACATATAATGAAACTGTTAGACGAGATCTGGCATTAATTTCTAGCATTGCCTAATGAGTGCTCTCAGCATCCTTGACTAGGCAGAGAATTCAGTTCCCCTTTTTATATAATGACACAGAATTTTGTGTGATTACTGCAGACGAAAAACACCTTATAAGGCTCAACGAAATCACAAATAGAAAAAGGGGGGAGGGAAGGTGGACCAAATAAAAAACCCAAGAATTTGTAGTTTGAAGGTGAACTAAAACCTTTTTCACTCAGTGAGCTGCAAGCTCACAGGGTCATTTTGCCCCTTCACACTGAAGGCTTCATAAAAGGGGAATGGAGATTCATTCCATAGATGGCACAAGGCCTTGATGGAGCATGGGAGATGGGAAAACCTGAGCTAGCAAGTAAAGCAGGAAATAACCCATGAAATATTACGGAGAAATCTGTACATATCACCTCCTCACATTTCCCTTGCCACAAGCTGGTAAGCATAGGCAGTACACCTATTTTTACTGCCATTAATGAGTGTCAGTGCTCACTGGGGAAACACACAGGCCCAGAGAAATGCTTCTGTGTGGGGCAGCAGGACCCCAGAGAATGATGAAGATTCATATTCATCTGGACTCTTTCTTTGTTACATTAAACTAGCCAAAGAGCTGTGCTTATCTTCAAGATCTTTCTTGATTATAGAAATAGAGATAAAGTAGAAATAAAAGTAAATGCTAATGTCAGAGCCTCGACTACAGATGATATCTCCATGACAGCGACATTTAAAGAAACCCACAAATTAAAAAAAGGGCACAGCAGAAATGTGCTGAGATCAGAAGCTGCTACAGAAAGGCTCCAGACATAACTATGGACAAGGTTCATGTTGTTTTCTCCATCCTGTAGCACCTCTGGGAAAGGCACAGTCCAACACTTGGAGTCAGAGCCAATAGGAATGCACACTTTTAATCTCTTCTTCAGAGAATATCATGGATATTTTCATCTTTCTCTTGCTAAGGGATGGAAGGAAGGTCCAATATCCTACTAACACATACAGTTCCTCTGACATGGCTCTCCCAGCGTGGCCCATGATGACAAGTGAAAAAGAAAAGCCCATAAATGGAAAAAAACTGCTAGAAATGACACAGTTTATATTTAGCTGCGTGCAGGGTGAAATGCTTAGAATTAGCTTGAAAAAAAGAAAGACAAAAACCAACCCCAAAGGTTTATTATTGCAGAGCTATTCAGGGTTCAATCCTGTCACTACATGAACAAGGCTTAACTTGACCACATTCCTCTTCCTCCTTGCTTTGTCTTGCCTCATTTTGATGGGAAAGCAGATTTTGCCAAACCCCAACTTGGAAGGTGAACTTGGGGAACTTCACTGACATTGCCACCTTCAAGCTAATCATGTAAGTGTCATTTACAAAGGAAAAGAGATTTTACAGGTTAAAATTCTCTGCAGGATTCACTGAAAAGTGTCTGAGCATTACATCTGCTGTGGTTAGGAGAAGGTTAAAGCCCAGCTCATTTAAAAAAATCTTCAGATACAATGCAGAATGGGGACAAAAGCCACCAGGACAGCATTATAACCACACGATTGCAGGTGGTTGTGACAGGGATTCCCTATCTGTCACACTCTAGTACATGAATAACCTAATGTGACAGTCAGAAGATTTGAAAAAGCAGCAAAAAACACTTTGTGCCTTTTCCTGAAGCTTTGCTACCACACACAAGAAACTGCAGCTGCTGATACCTGCAACAAATTAAAGCATTCAAGAGCTTTAAAAAGTTTCTTTTAAGCAGCAGAGAATATTCTTTGATTGAAAAAACAACTATAACTCCCGGGTCATTTAACTTTGTATTACTTACTAGAAGTGCTTGGAAAATGCAGGCGTTTGGGATAATGGCTGTCTTGACAACAGACTGAAATTCACTGTAAAGGCACCAGAACAGCACTGGGGAAAAAAAAAAATAGGAGATCCACAAACTGAAAGAGGCTGAAAATCGTGTTTTATAGGATCAAAGCTGGAAACACAGCCTCGACATGCCAAGTAAGATTTAAAAAGCGGATTGAAAAGTCTTTGTCTTGACACTCTTTAACCAGGTAGCTCTGACTGGGGCCAAAACAACAAATAATTGAGGCCTTTTAAGACTTGATTAAATTTCTGCATACCCTGAAATTGTGAAACGAGTAAGATTTTCAGAAAGTGCAATCCTGGAGGCACTTACCCCACAAAATAAATGTTTATGTAAATGACCATACTTTAAGAGCAACCCCGGGACCCTGGGCAGTGCACAAATCCAGCTGACACTCAGCCCTGGTTCTTCTCCCTAGAGCCCTTATGCATACATAGCTCTTTTTATCTCCTTAGAGACTGAAATCTGGGTGTATTTATCAAACATTTGGATCTCAGGGTCTCTCCAGTAATTGAAGTCACTAAAAAAAAAAGGTAACAAACTGGAATGTTTTTGCAGCCCAGATTGTGTTCAGAATTTGAATATTCCAGGCACAAAACACTTGTGCTGGGCCAGTCTTAATTTATTTGGCCTTTTCACCTCATGTGCATTAAAGCAACAGGAATGCAGGTATAGCACCTGGCCATTTAAGTCTCTGCACAAATCTTTGATGTCTTTAAGGCTTGGATTCATTCTTCCTGCTTTCCCTGATGACTGAGTGTGCTACAGAGTACACAGCTTTTCCCTATTCCTAGGTTGTAGGCTTAGACATATCTTTGAGAGGTTTTGTTCAGTTGTGTGGTACCTTCCTGCCCTCTCCTGACAAAAAACAATCTCCCAAATACCTTCCCTTTTCTTTACAGAATTGTAATTTGGTTGGGTGTATTTGATAGCCTTTAGCTGTCAAAACAACTGGCATCACATGTGTATTCCAATTTTCCCTATTTGTACTTGCCAGTAGCACTTCCTCCACACACTGTATTAATACAAAGTTATTGGTTAACTCTCCTCTAAAACTGCCTAGGCTTTTAAAAAATAAAGTTGACCATCCTGCAGACTCCTGAGGAAATCCAGTCCACTTTTACTGTTTTCTGTCCCAGGT